GTCAATTGGTCTGGTATAAAGGCATTGCGTCTCGTAAATGAGTCATAAAACTTGATGGAAATGTTACGGGCAAATGTGACCTGAACCACAATGTAAGGTAGGGATTTTGTGGTATACTTTACATAAAAATTTACAACCATATATTCACTGTGCAATTACGTTAGGTATAAATATGAACGCTGTAATGCAAGATTTTATAAAATGGGCTTAGAGATACGTAGGAGTATTTTGTTCTGTTGAATGTAATGGTAGACCTCAGCATAATTCAAATTGGCTTTTTTTACAAATGGGAATTTTTATATTTCAGACTTGAATGTATCCCTCGTCATTCTTTTGATTTTTCCATACAATTACGTGCAACTACCAGCCTACATCAAGTTCGCGTTTCGCTTACTTATTCCAGAAAATCAAACCAACTAGAATATATTAATTAGATGCTTCCCCCTTCCAGCAGAAGGCAAGCGAATGTAACAAGTTTTAATTGAAAAGTCTTCCATTGATTTCAAAGCGGCTTAATGTACTAATAAAAACTTTTGCGGAGCCATCAAGTACACTTTTTCGTTCGCCGAGGGGTCGCTTTTCGCGTGTATAGAATTTTACGTCACGGGACATTTAAAACTTTAAATGAAGTGCAATTACATAGGGTTCTTTATTGTAATATTAAAGTACTAAATGAACATAAGTCTTGTTTCTGTCTAGGGATTTACGTCGGATTACATCGAAGCTGCTTTGCCGGATCGGCGCAACCATGAGAAGAATAATCTATGATGGTATGCCGACAATAAGCGCACATAAAGAGATTATAGACTTTAGCGGTATTACTAGAATTATTTATATTTAAAGCAACCTCATAATATGAAAAAGAGATGAGATTTGATTGACTTGTTTTCCTTTAGTGAGCAGTAAAGGTGCAAAAGTTTTTGTACTTAGTGCCTAGAGAATGAGGACTGCGAATTATACAGTTACGCTACTGCATAGTAACTAAGTAACGGAAGTAGTCAAAGTATTAATGAACACTGAGAAAAAGAAGTGTGAGATGTAAGTCGCAAAAGGCATCATTGAAGTTGCAGGAAACAAGAAGGAGCGATGCAGGAATTAAAAAATAAATGGTAAACATGGAAGGAAACTGTACATTGAAAAAATGTATAAAAAACTGAAAATATGTAAGCTAGAAAAATGAAGGAATTATCTCAGGAATAATATATAATAATGAATAGGAAAAGGAATATTCTGAATTATAAATTGCCGGGTACGTCGAAGAACTGGGATTTTATATTCAGGCTCTGTTTAGGTTGTAGTTTTCTTATTAGTATTAGACTGGATCGTAGGTAGGTAGTGTGATAATTTAGATTAAATTGTATAGTAGTGTTTTAATGAATTTATAGCTTAGAAAGACATGATACCTTTAGGTTTCTGAAAAGGGAGCGCATGTTAATAATTGCGGTTTTGTAAAGTACCGTTTTAATGTAATACAGAAAGCCACTTACGTGTGTCTTCTGCAATTCGGGTTGTTTATTTTGGAACTTTGTTAGAAACGACGTTTGTAAAGTACCTCTTGGAGATCTATGCGGTTTTCTAAAATCCTCTTGTAATTTGAAACTCAGTTTTTTACCGTTTAAACGCATTCTTATCGCTAATAAATTAAATCAATCTTTTAACAAAAGTAATAAAAGAGCCAATAAATTAAAACAGAACTGTCACTTAAATGATTTAGCAAAGCAAAACTGATAACAAAGTAAACGATGAATGTTTGACATTTAATAATAATTCTATGAATCAATTTTTAAAAAAAAACAAACCACTTGGATACAACTAGAAACGCAATAATCACTTTGTGTTTAAACGTAAAGACCCGACCAGAATAATTAAATAATTTGAGAAGAAGATTGTAATAACAAAAATGACCCGTCATTAATTCAGGTGTCTGGACCAAACATGAATGTTCACATTAACATTGTTTACATAACATTATATAAATTGCAGGTTTTGAAAAACCCCATATTCGGTATTTTTCCATTATTGATTTAAGGGGGTCGTTTCACATAGTAAAATAGAACGTGCCACGTATAATCTTCTTTCTAATACTCATATAAAAATCTCGTGTCAAAGTGTTTGTCTGACATGAGAGGTGAGGCGGCGCAGGCGCCTAAATCAAGCGCATTTCCCATATACAGACAACGATAATAATCGTTAATAACTTCCCAAAGATGGTACGAAGTTCGCGGAGTCTGCTGGTATTGTAGTAAAAATGTTGGGTACTGGATATTCTAATAAATATGACTGTTTGTATTTTAGTTAATTTTTTTTCAATACGTGGACTGAAGGACCATAGCCATATGTTTTGTGGTTTAAATGCTAATTACCGCCGAACCATACAAATACTTCAACCAAAGTTGGGCACGTACCTGGCGTGGCTGAGTTGCTGATTTCGGTGAGCTGCTGTACCGGCTGAATGGGGGCCCCCAAAGATGATTTCGGTTTTTCACTTTTTCAATGAATAAAATGCACGTGAAAAGTGAAAACTCGTTCATGCTTTACTGGTTCGCACATAGCACTCGAATGTCGCCCTTCTCTCTTCATTTTTAAAGTGTTTTCGCGACTCCGCCCGAGTGCCCGATTGTACTTGTATGATTTTAAAATTACGCGCCGAAACAACTGAGGTTTAAACATTTTTCCGCCCACTAAAACGGATGTTTTACAAATAGAAATGCATAATTATAACACAATTACCCACAAGGAAAAAAAAAATCAACTAATAGAATTTTTAAACTAAATTCCCAAGATTTGCTCTTGTAAATATTTCCCCTTACCAAAAAAAAAAAAAATTTTTCATTTGAATTTAGGACATTGCACAACAAACAACATATCTATGGTTGGTACTTATTTATTGATCTTGAGTAGGTAAGGGACATAATTTAATAACAGGACGCTTAAACAGTCCGTTTTGTGTCCTTACCGTGACAACTCGTGTTTGGCCGTCTGGGCCTGAATGTAATTCAACTATGCGGCCTAATGCCCAATGCAAAGGTGGCTTGGTGTCATCCTTTATTAAAACCAAAGTATTTAATTTAATTTTTACAGAAGGATCTGTCCACTTAGTGCGCTGTTGTAGGGTGTTCAAATACTCAAGTTTCCAACGTCTCCAGAAATCAGATTGTAGTCTTTGTATCAATTGCCATCGAGATAAAGTGTTTAATTTTAAATTTTCAAGATTCTCATCTGGACAAGAATTTAAGGGTTCAAGAGTTAGAAAATGTCCTGGAGTTAATGAAATTAAGTGGTTAGGGTCGGAGCTTTGCGCACAAAGAGGACGCGAATTTAAATGGCTTTCGATTTGTGTCAAAAGTGTCGACATTTCTTCAAATGTCAAAAGTTGCTGACCTATTACACGTACTAAATGAGATTTCACTGATTTAACGCCGGCTTCAGCCAGACCATTAAAATGTGGGGCGCCTGGTGGGTTGAAGTGCCATCTAATTTGCAAAGATTCTGAGGCGAATTGAGATAATTTTTCTAATTGGTTTCTAGCTCCTACAAAATTTGTACCACAGTCGCTGAAAATGTTGGTGCATTTCCCGCGCCGTGCAACGAAACGACGAAACGCAGCTATGAAGGCATCCGATGTTAAGTCCGAAACCAGTTCAATATGGATGGCTTTAGTAGTACAACAAACAAAAATGCACACGTAAGCCTTCATGACCTTCGCACCTCGGTGCCTGCCCATAGTTATTTTTAATGGACCTGCGTAATCTAAGGCAACTTGAGAGAAACATTTTAATTGGCAAATTCGAAAGGAAGGTAAATCCCCCATCAATGGGGTAAAGGTTTTAGGTTTTACCCTAAAACATTTTACACATTGTGATAACACCTTTTGGATTGCTCGACGAGCTGATAATATCCAAAATTGTTGTCTAAGAAGATAATGCACGGTATTTAACCCCACATGTAAATGTTTCCGGTGCATATTTTCAATAAGTAAATGCGTTAATCTGTGGTTTCGAGGAAGAAGGTAAGGATGTTTTGCATCAAAAGAAAGATCGGAGTGCTTTAGACGACCGCCCACTCTGAGGCATCCGTCTGCATCGAGAAAAACAGCTAACTTGCGAAAAGGTTTCGGTATTAAGGCCTGAGTCCTAAGTTGTGAAATGACATCCGAAAAAGAACAACTCTGGACATGCCTGATTAAAATTCGAAGAGCATTTTGATTTTCTATTTCCGTAAGTACACCCCAATGATCTCTTGACTTGGCCTTAGTGTTGCTAGTAAATCGAAGTACGTAACCAATTATATGTTGAATTTTAAGTATAGACGAAAATTTGGTTACTAAACAATCTAATGGGTTAGGATCCAGCGTAACAGCGAATGTGCAGGTTTTTTGTTCGGATAGAGCCACCGATTTTCCCAGATTGGATCCATCCATTGGCACAAGATCCCATTCAGCTCGAGGAAGTAAAATCCAAGGAGGACCTTGAAACCATAAGGGATGATTTATTAGGTTGCTGGGTGTTAAACCCCTACTAGCGCAATCTACTGGGTTTTCCCCAGAACTAATATGATACCAGGGTACCGTGGGTATGGTTTCCTGAACTTGGCTAACCCGATTTGCAACAAAGGTTTTCCATTTGTGCGGCGAGCTGGATAACCACGCTAAAACTACTTGAGAATCCGTGAAAGCCAACACTTCATTGATAGAAATTAGCTTGCTAAGAAGGTCAATAATAAATTTAAGCAACTCTGCCAACAAGGCAGCACCCAATAATTCTAATCGTGGAAGGCTGACCGTCTTAAGAGGCGCGACTCTACTTTTTGCTATAATTAAAGAAGATTTTACGGTGTCATTTGGTAATTCAATTCGAAGATAAACTGCACAAGCATAGCCTTTTTCTGAAGGATCGCAGAATCCCAAAAGTTGACACCTTTGTAGTTTTTCGGCAAAGATAAAACGCGGTAATGAAATTTGTGATAACCTCGGAAGTTCCAGTTTAAACTGCACCCAAATATCACAAATTGGTTTGGCCAGGAATCTCGTCCCAACCTATGCCAGAAATCCAAAGTCGCTGCATAATGTGTTTTGCCAAAAATGTTACCGGGGAAAGGAAGCCTAAAGGGTCGAAGATTCGGGCAATTTCTGACAAAATATTCCTTTTCGTAGGGGGTTTATTAGATGGACTATGGGAAAACGAAAACTTGTCGACAGAGGGGTTGTAAAGAAGACCAAGAACTTTTATATTACTAGAAACCTCTCTATCAAACGAAACGGGAACTTGACAATCGGCAGCAGCTAAAGACGACAATAATTTAAAATGGTTGCTAGCCCATTTCCTCAGCTCAAACCCACCGGCTTTAAGCAGGGCAATTATCTCTTTCTGTAAGGCCAAAGCAGATTCCAGAGAGTCGCTGCCAGCACAGATATCATCCATAAAAGTATTATTCAAAAGAATATCAGCAGCGTTCGGATACTTAGATCTCTCCTGTTTTGCCAGCTCTTTCAATGTTCTAATTGCCAAATAAGGGCTGGAGGTGACGCCAAAAGTAACCGTGTTGAGACGATATTGCTTTATGGGATCATTCGGATTAAACCGCCAAATTAGCCTCTGATAATCTCGATGTTCAGGCGTAAGTTGTATTTGCAGATACATTTGTTTAATGTCGGCCAGAAAAATTATAGGAAACACACGAAATTTAACTAAGATTCCAGAAAGATCAGCTTGCAATTTTGGACCGGGAAGCAACGTATCATTCAGACTGATTCCCTTGGAACCTTTTGCTGAGGCATTAAAAACGACACGGACCTTACTAGTGGTTTTTTCTACCTTAATCACTCCGTGATGAGGCAGATAACAAGAGTGTATTGGCTTGGGTTCGTCAGAAGCAATTAGAGTCATGTGCCCATTTTCCAAATAATTTCTCATGAATTCCGAATACAAGTTATACAACTCAGGGTTTTTAATTAAACGAGTTTCTAAAGATTTAAAACTACGGTATGCTATGGTGAATGTGTCTCCCAGATCGGGCTCACTATGACGAAAGGGTAAAGATACGATAAAACGACCCGAGGGGTCTCTGGACACAGTTTTTCGATAGATCTCTTCACACTTTTCTTCCTCCGGAGCTATCTGTGGTTTCGCTGCGATTGCTTCCAATTCCCAAAATTTTCGAATATCACTATCAAGGGAGGAATCAAATGAAGAAAAATAAGTTTGCAAATGAACGGAAGGCGTTAACACCTCTTGAGCTTTTCCTAGAAGAACCCAACCAAATACAGTTTCTAACGCAGTGGGTTGCCCTGGTTGTCCTAAAACGCGACCTTCCTTTAGGATACGAGCAAAAGCTTCTGCACCTAGTAAAAGATCTACTGGTGCTGGGATGTGGAATCGATCGTCACCCAACTTTAAATTGGATATATGCGACCAACTGTTGGTATTTATAATGTGAGAGGGCATCTCTGTACAAAGATTAGGAAGAACCAAGACATCAAAGCAAAATGTAGGTTGGGTTTGACCTACGGGGCGAATACTGCAACTGGCTACTCCGTTGGTACAAGCTCTAGCTCCATTAAGACCTTGAACTGGTATTGAGAATCTTTTCTTTGTCAGACCAAGCTGACTTAGGCACTTTTGGCTAATGAAATTTGCTTGGCTACCAGAATCTAGGACTACTCTAACGATTTGATAGTTTCCTTTAGAATCCAAAATTTCCACTCTTGTTGTAGACAACAAAACTGTGCTTTGAGTAAATGCATTTGCTAATGACGTGCAGTAGTTTTGAACCTGATTTTCGGGTTGGGATGTACTTGCCTGTACCGACGATAAATTACTTTGGTTGTGTAAGGATTGTGCAGAAATATTTGCATTAGTTTTAGACGGCTGAGGAGAGCTTTGAGCATTAATCGAGTGCGACGAAGAGTTTATGAATGCGTCGGATTGTGCATTTGTTCTATTTGTCTCAACGGTTTGAGGTAGATGCATCATAGTGTGATGCCTGTATCTACAAACACGACAATTAAACGAAGAAGTGCAATCTTTCAACAAATGATTGTATCTAAGGCAGTTTATACAAACACGATTCTGTTTTACAAAGGAAAATCTTTCAGACGGGGTTTTGGAAATAAACTCCGGACACTGAGATAACGGGTGTGCCATTTGGTTGCATAATTTGCAATTTTGGCTATTATTTCGCGCAGCCTGATTTTGGTTACTATTATTTTTCAACGGTAGATTTTTTGGAGGTGCATTATGGTTTACAAGCAATGCGGATGTTACTGGAGTTTTAGAAAAACTAGGTTTTACGGAATTCGAAGGTTTTGAAAATTTACCAGGGGAACTAGAGTTTGATTGTGAAGTAACAAACTGAACTGATTCTAAGGCTTTACACTGCTTTTCCAGAAACTCTTTAAGGTCTTTGTAGGTAGGTATATCTTTTTCAGTATACTTCACTTCAAAGGCTGTTCGTGTGGCACTATCGAGTTTTTGCAATAATAAATTAAATAGAATAAAACACCAATGTTGGACAGGAAACTCTAATACCTGCAAGGCAGACAAATTTTCAGTAAATACATCTAAAAGATTCCGAAGGTCCTTATAAGAACTTGTTTTCATGGAAGGAACGTTATATATCTCATGCCAATATGACGCAGCTAAAATTCTTTTATTTTGATATCGATTCACTAACGTGTTATTATTTTTTGCAGGGCTGTATTTTGATTGATTTAAATTTCAATGGATGACAATATTATTTTTTAATTTTGTGTATTTGTTTAACCTCAAGGTGGTAAAAGGTGACACCATTTTGAATTTTCAGGTTGGAAACAAGTAAGCCAATTTTACTAAGAAGAGCGCACCATGGTACTTAGCAAAGCTGAGCTACCCGTGGATCAATTTTGCACAAAAATGTAACATTACTGTAAACAGTCAACATCAAATATCACGATCAGGGATTCGCCTCCCTGAAACGTAATCCCTGTTACATGATTCGCAAGCTATTATTTGGCAAAAACACGAAGTGGATAAGTGGTCTATAGTTATATGGCACAAAGACAGACGAACAGAAACACAACATAACCCTCTCACTTTACGAGATAGGAATGCGTGGCTCAGTTAAGGAGTATCCAAGATTACTTTCATTTGATAGAGATCTATGAATAATCTGGCAGAATATTAGCAACTCTTTTAAACGAAATTCCTCACATACGGGGGAACGTTAGTTCTTTCGTTTCGCCATTGCTAAAATTTGTTTGCGTTTTGTTTATGACAGAATAACGTTTTGTTTCTTAATGTTTCTGTTAAATTAAAGCCAACTAATTCATTTTAGGTGTGGTGATGTAATTACAAACTACCGTTATTTTTTGGATTAGAATTCATCGGTGAACAGAAACATGTCGTTTCCATTAAAAAAATAACATTTTCGCATTTTTAAAACTGCGAAATTTGTTATGACTTTCAAAACACTCCGTACATGTTTGTATCATTTTTACATATGACATTAGTAGGTTATTTAAACACATCCTGAAATGGGACTGTTTTGCTTGCCTTATAAAGGGAAATTTACCCTGTAGACAAGGATATTCTCAAAAAATTTCGAAAAAGCTAGACTGATTCCAAAACTGAAAATATTTAAATAGAAACAGTTTCAATGAATATCAATTTTTGAGGAATTTCTGCATTAGTATCCCATATAATAATCAATACAGCTCGTGGTTGGACACCCGGTATTGGCACAGTGGTGATCGCTTTTGCATCAGTTATAAAAATTTTGTCGAATTTTTATTTAGTTCACAAGGAAATTTCTATTTGTACCTACCTCTTCATAGTACACGTGAGTGTGAGTAGGTCTTAATTTGCCTTTCTATTCCTGTGCCTAAACTAAACAAGATCTCGATTCATGCTTTCGAGAATTTCCTCGTGTTCGCAACCCATACAGCTACTATTTATACTGAATTGTGTATTCAACGAGTAGCAGATATTATCAATCTTTTTGGACGAAGTTTTCATTTTCAAGGGAGGGCAGTATTAATCGTAACTTGAAGAAAACACCAGTTCCATTCATAACTGTATGTCACTTTAAATTTTTGATTTGTATTAGTTGATTTTTTTAGGAATTTGTATAGGAATTTTATTTAACGCAATCATAATGTTCCTAAAGGAACCGACCTTTGAAAATTATTTGTACGAATCAGATTAGTATTGCATTTATTGATAATAATCGGATCCATACAAAGGAATTTGTTTATTCTTTGATTAGTGAAGAATTTGTACTTAATTTCAGTGATAATATTCCTTTGGTTGGATTCAAATTTGGTGTGTAAATATTTTAAATGGGAGAATGTGCCAGGAATTGTGATAGTAACAGTTTTACCAGTGTCGCAGAGCTTCAAATTTATTTAATGGAAACCTTGTAAATGCGTAACGAAGCCGTCACAATTGCCAACCCCATAGGCGGCGGCGCCCCTACTGCAATAAACTTATTATTGTTTAATGGGATACAATCCTAAAGTGTAAACAACAAATTATAGGAAATGTTAGATAACACTTAACGGTAATCCAACATGTTGCTATTAATTGTTCTCACTGGGCGAGAGAAGAACATACACAATACCCTGAAAAGGGTAGGAACTGTTGGAGGTTCTTTTTTTCTGTTGTCAGTAATGTGGTACCAACTTTCACAAACTTATTTTGATCCGGAAAACACACAAGTTTTCAGCGAATTTCAGCAAGATGGACCTCACCCGAATATTTTCAAATCGGTCGATAGGGAGGTGAGGAATATTCATTCCTTTCCAAATAGCTACAAGCCTACATAACAGAGTAAATACTTTCTTATTTAATTACAGAAACAATGGAAGCGTTTCAAATGTTCTTATTAATATTACATTTATTATTCAATGCCGTTTTCGTAGTTAAACATTGCGCCATTAAATTCATTATTGACATCATGTCAACAATTAAGAAGCGTTGTCATTGTAGCGTATATTTAATTCAGCATCTTGCTATAGAATATCTTATTCCATTACAGATTTAAGGGTTGTGTTTAAAAAAATATCGACGCCAGGGAGAAAATCTAATTTCATGTATTCTCAAGACGAAAGTGGGTACCTAGGTATATGGTGTAGAAATGCAATTTATTTATACCACCGGTATATCTCCTGAAGTGAATTTCCGAGTTTAGGTATTCATTTCGTATTACAACGACACGTTCCCTAAATGAATGCATTATTTTCAGACTAAGATTCGCAAAAACACGGTTGCTGAAAATTACTGCTTATCGTCGATACGAAGCAAGTACTTGGGATGAGTAGGTAATAATCGAATGGATATATCAAATTAGGACTCTCTGTGTTTCGTGCCAGCTAACGTACAAATAAGGATTACTGGAACCATGGGATCCATTTTCGGTTGTGAGGAATAAAGAATTTTCAATGATTGCAATATCATTCCCTTGCCTACGATCTCAAATTCAAATTGTTGGCGTGTTTTGTGTGCCAAGGGTTGTATGTATATACTGTTCAAATTCAAATGTTACTTTTCCACATATTGAATTTTTTAATCTATTTTACTCTGTTTTGTTCATTGATTCTTTATGTTTACGAAGTGCGGATATAATGCCAGCATTTCTAAAACTGGATTGGAAAGTTTGAGACTGTACGTAATAATACTAAAAAATGAAATCTTGTAGATACTAATTTATTAAAACTACTTTAGTAATCTACTCGTATTTATGCCCTCCTACCCTTGCTCGGATAATAAAATGTCATATATATTTAGACAGTCATCGTACCTTTTGAGTAAAGAAGACATACGTAGGCCGCATTTTCGAAAATGTAATATTAGAACGATATACCTAATTTATACTAGCAGTCTCGGGGAACGTCGTACCACCTTTGGGAAATCCTTTTTTTTCCGTACCCCGTTCCCTTGGGAACTTCGGGAAGTTCTTTCGGACTACACCTTAACGCCGTTCTAAATGTCAAGCCTGTTCGCTATTTTTTTCCTGTTGGCGTTCACGTGGGAATTTAGGAAAACTATTTTACTAACTCAGAAACTTTCACGGGCATACGTTCAACCCGAGGTCCATTCATTCCCCCAAGTTTCATGGATGAACGGTTTAGATAGGCATAAGAGGCAGACAAACATTCATTTTTTATATATGTAGACAAGTAGACCCGACGAACATTGTAAGGGCATTTCTTAAAAAATGTCGGATATTTTACCTGCATATAGTACTCATGAAAAATACAAAAGTCTTAATAAACATGTACAGGTACCATTTGTTAAGCTAAGGAAAAAGAATACTATTTTTGCAGTTAGCAACACAACTTCCCCACTTATTAAGATCTTGATCACTTTAAATAAGTTCTCCTCAGTAAATGATATCGACTTTTTTCACAATCCCCTAATTGCAATAATAAATCAAATTAGATCTTAAGACCTAATGTTTGTTCAGAGCCCCAGTGCCATGTAATTGGAATTTTTATTCTGTATGGTGTCTGGTTACACAAATAAACATAAACATAGGTCCACAAATTAAGTGCTTCAGAATTGACTTTGTGTCTTAAATTAAATATTTAGTTTGCTTATACACATCACAGTTTGTTTAAACCATTCCGTGGCTTGTTGCAAGAGCAGAAAAAAAGTTGGTACCTGCAAGATCTAAATTATAAACAATGCGAACAGTTGTTGGCAATGGCATGAATAAAAAGAATCTCACGAACAAAGTCGATAATGCCGGCATATCTATATGAAGGAAAGTCAAGGTATTTAAATTTTTTACCCTTTCGTGCTCCATTTAAAACTTCAACCAATGCATGCATGTGCAGTCCCAGCTGACCGTTTCATATGTCATATTTGAGATAAAGTTTAACTTTTGTTTTCGCACGGTCAAGTATGCTTTAAACCGCTTTTATAATTCAGGCATAATAACAAACATGAAACAGCACAATAATTATTAACTGTCATGCGACCAACTTTGCTTCGAAGTCGGCGCAAAACGGTACTTTGGATAAACCGGAAGAGATTAGTTGGATCAAAAGATAAATTTTAATGAAAAAACTATTTTAGTAACACATATATATGAATTTTTATTTTCGGAAATCTCGTAGTGGGCACAGGTATCTCGAGCGCCGCCAGAAGATTTTCAACTCTTGCGCCTGGCCAAGGTCGGCTGTACGGTTTCGGAAACCATAGGTAAATCAGGAGAAAATAATTTTCCAAAACAGGAGCGAAATCAAAAATTACTAGCGCTATCTGTAACTACTGGAAATCGAAACGGTTCGGTAATAAATAAATCGTAACGTTCTCGCCTATTATAAAATTCGGCAATTTTGGAAAGGGAATGCTGGGGTTTCCAGCCACCACAGCGAACTCGTAAGATAATGCAAAAAAATTAAACCTAATCTAATCAGACGTCGTTTGCTGCAACACATATAATTATTTGATTTTTATTTTGCCTTTATTTTTGAGTGGGCGAGGTTTCAGTCCAGGCTGCTCTACCAACCCATCCCAGTATACAGAGTGGCCCAACGAGAAGTATACAGAGGGCTTTTAGGGTATTAAATTTAGAAATTTCGAAAAATCCTCGAATACGTCAATTTGTATTCGAGGGGGACAACTTTTGGAATACAAATCACGAACCCAAGTCTTCACCCCTCTACGTAGGGAGCTTAACCCCTAAAATTTTNTTGAGAAAAAGGGGTGCAAGTACAGGTCCTCGTGGAAGAGTTTTTTTTCTCACAGGAACTACTAGAGTTGCGATGGCGATTGCATTAGTTTACGAAGTTGATGGCAATGTCAAGTAATGTACATGAGCAAAGTTTATACTTTGATGAGTGTCAACATCTCGTTAAAATTTCGCTCAACGTTAATCTGCAGGAATCCTTACGTGGCTTTCTTGGAAAACGTCATCTAATTTTAATGAAGTAATCAGCGAATTTATACAAAATTCATTTGCACGGTCTAGAAAAAAAATTGTGCTCCTATTAAACTTCTGCATTTAGTACTAAATTCCGAATTTACGAGAATAATTTTGTTTGAAAATTACTTTTTGTTTGTCCATAATTACTGCACCCAGGTGAAGTTCGATAGTACAACAAACGCAAATGAACAATTAAACTTAATTTCAGTCTTTGGCATTTCTAATCCACACCGTTGTATTCTTTACAATGGTTTTACGTTGATTAAACAAGCAAGTCAGTAAACAGATTATGTTCATATTTTTAGCAAATTCAATCAAATTTAAAAACCCAGCAACCCGTCAGAAAGCTCCGTATAAGATGCGTTTATAGTAGACTACTAAAAGCACACGTAAAAAACGCAATCTTCTTCTTTATTGTCATTTAAAGGAGCCATCAATGAATTACTTTGACATTTTGTCAACACACACTACACCCAAATGTTAAGAATTTAATAATAATAAACAATTTTTAGGGGTTGACTAAATACACTATGCACTTTTTTCCAGTCCATATAAAAATATGAAGTTGATGGTTTCTGAAACACGAAACGTTGCAGTGAAAATGTGTGGGCATCATCTTGAAGAGCCTATGAGGAAGTGTTTGATATATTTTCAAACAGGGTCCGAAAAAAATAAAAACGAATATGGTTAATTTCGGTTTTTTTCGAATATCTTCGGAACTGACCGAAATTTCCGAATTTTTACAACCCCATTTTACTAACCCCTATACACATGCAACTTTTTTCTAATTTAACCGACTGTGTATTTCATATGGTTATCGACCTCATGCTGTTCTTTCTTATCTTGGACACACTGTATAGTGCACTTAATGTTCGGTGGATATTGTCATATTCTGTAGGAATATTATGTGTCCATTGTACATGTTTATTTATGCACAATTGTTAAAGTTCGCGGGAACTAACACTAATAAGGAGAAACTAAGTTAAAACTGTTTTAAATAGATTGATTTTTAACAGTTCATTATTATTCATAACTTACCTGTATTCACACGATATAATGGGAGCTCGCTAGCGTATTTTTTTTTAAATTTTTGAAATGTCGTTAAATTGGATGTACAGTTTGGTACTATAGTCTTCTGTATATTTTTCCTCGTGTGGGGGCAGGCAGTAGAAATTCTACCACTGAGGCACTGCGTGTCGTAGGAGGCGACTAAACAACGGTCAGTCGGCCATATCACGAAGTGTTTAGGTGAAATCAATGTATAACATTAGGGCGACTTGTACTCTTCTTCATTGGCTGCATATGTGAGGTGGCTTCCCTAGGTACAGCTTCTCGATACAGTATCGGATGTGGGCTCTTTCCACGGTACTGTAGGTCATTTTTCATCCTTCAAATAAGCCAGGAAAGCCAGTTCGTCGCTTCACGTCTAGGTCATCTATTTCTATTCGCGACTCCCTCGAATCGACGTTCTGTTCTCCGCTGCATATTGCTCCAAAGATTTGCAGATTTTATGAAGAGCAGGCATTGCTAAAATACATTTAGACGAACACTATCAGTGAATCCGCGAGGTATAAGTAATACCACAGACTACCTCTATGCTTCGCATAAGATCACCATATTCGACCAAGTTCTCGATCAATATTTGTCTGTCCTTATTGCAAAGTAGCCATCTTCCACGAATAGGGTATTTGTCGATTTAATCTCCATGTGAGTCTGTAGATTTAGGATATCCTGAAGATACATATGACATGCTTTGGCGCATGGCCTAATAAGAGTAAGGCTATGTTTTGGCGTACACCAAGGGCTCACTGGTGTGAAAGAAATGGAAGCATTTTTTTGTACAACTTTTAGGTGATCGCTCCAGTTACTTTCCCTTTCTGTTTGTATACATTTTTTCACCAACGTAACCATGTAGAGGTATTGCATCCACAATTTCGCCATCCCAACTGTAGGGCTTCAATCATAATATTTTTCCATCC